GATGGTACACGGGCGTGCGCGGCATGTGCCCGTGGGCTGGTCGTGCGCCTGAATCCGTGGGCCGCCCCTGTCTGGCCGTGGCCCTCGGTCCCGCGGGCTCGGAGCCGGGCCCTCAGACGCGCCCCTGCCCGGCAGGCACAGAAATGTTTGCATAAGGTCCACTCAGGCGGGAGCCCCGGGGGCCGTGTCCTGAGCCCGGTGTGTGCGTGATGCCGTGTGCATGCGGGCCCGGTGAGGGGCGGGAGGCGAGGTAGCATCACACGCTCATACACACACACGGGTGGCTCTGGGCGCCGTCTGCCCTGGGCCCCGGGTCGGGCCGAGTGTGAGCAGGTGGCGGTGCCCGCTGGGCCAGGCTGGCCATGGAGGGATGGGGTTTGGGCAGGGGCTGAAGGGCCAGTGTGGAGGGACGGCTTCAGCCCGGGTGTGAGGACCTGTCCCCGCTGCTCCCCCCGATGTCGGGGAAGGCCCCGTCTGGCCTCTGCGGGTCCCTGGCGGGCGCCAAAGCTGGTGAGAGTGTAGGCGTTCGGGCCCGGCCGGCCTCAGCACTCGGCCTCCGACACCGTGAAGAGGCCAGCGTCTGGCTGGCCCAGGCCGGCCACTGCGGCTGCCAGCTGGCCGAGGTTGCCGTTGGGGAAGTGCCGTGCCTCCCACAGGTTCAGGATCATGGCCGTGGGGCTGGGCTTGGAGGCGAAGAAGCTGAGATGGCTGCAGGGGGCAGAGGCGGTCAGTGGCCCGGCCCCCGGCCGCCGCCACCGCCCAGCCCACCCCAGGGCAGGGCCTCCCCCCGCCAGACGCATGGACGGCCTGGCTGCTCGTGGACGTGCTATGGGCCCTGCCAGCCCTCTGGTCTGCCCACCCCTGCCCAGGCCGGACTGCAGGTGGCCTCCAAGCCCCTCTCCGCCCCCCTCGTACCCACCTGTCCAGGTGGAGTTTCTGGGCCAGAGTCCGCCAGTCGGCGCCCCGGCTGCAGGGCGGGTCCAGGCTGGAAATAATCTTCTGCCGAATGAGGAAGGGGATCTTGAAGGCACTGGGGCCCACCAGGGCTGGGACCCCCCCTTCACTCTCCAGAGCCAGCAGCTCCGCAAACCTCGTGTCCTGGAGCGAGAGGGGCGGAGGTGCATGTCAGAACCTTCCGGGGCCGGGCCCCCGGCCGCCTCCTGCGGGGGGAGCTCCCAGCCCCCCGCAGAGCCTGGAGGGCATGGACACTGGCCCTTCCGGGGCAACCCCCTCGTGCAACGCCCTGCCCAGCGGGGCTCAGGCCGCAGCTGCCAAAGCCACACGGCCAGTGAGCAGAGCAGGCGTCTGGCCTGTGCCCACCACTTACCCTCCGCCCTCAGGTCCCTCTGCCCGGCCGCGGCTGGCCTCGGCACTGCGGCTGCCTCTCCCTGCCTGCGTACCTGCTCAGCTCCCGCAGCCAGAAACGCCCCTCCTCTCACTCTGCGGCCAGACTCACTCACCCTTCAGGGCCCAGTACAAAGTCCCCCTCTCCCGGGAAGCCCTCAGGCGCTCCTCCAACTGCCCTCCCGAGTCCTGTTTGCATCTGCACCCCCCGGGGGCACTGGGGGAAGAGGTCCGGGGGTCCCGGGAGGAGGCGAGTGGGCTGGCTTGCTTCCAGGGGGACAAGTCGAAGCGGCGGGCAGCCCCGCCGTCCACCTTGGTGATGTTGAGGTTGATGTTGAAGCTCTGCCCGTCGCCCTCGACTTGCCACACCCACACCTTGCAGGCCAGGTCGCTGGTGCTGGGGCTGGCGCGCTCCAGGGTGAAGCTGCAGTGCAGGTACTGCTGCGTGCCGTTCCAGACGTGGTAGAACGGGATCTCCTGGGGGGAAGGTGTGTCGGAGGGCCTAGTCCCGCGCCCCCGGGGAGATGCCCGCTGTGCCCGGCTCTGAATCTCCGGGGGATGTGTCTGGTGTGTCTGGCCCCAGGGGGAGGTGTCCGGTGTGTGCCCGGCCCCTGGACCCCGGGGGAGGCGTCCGGTGTGCCCGGCTCTGGGTCTCTGGGGGAAGGCGTCTGGTGTGTCCAGGGTGTCCAGTGTGCCTGGCTCTACGTCCCCGGGGCATGCATCCGGTGTGTCTGGCCCCAAGCCCCCCGGGGAGGCAGCCAGTGTGCCTGGCCCCTGGCCGAGGCATCCGTTGTGCCTGGCTCTAGGCCCCTAGGGGAGGTGTCTGGTGCATCTGGGTCCCCGGGGGAGGCATCTGGTGGGTCTGGTTCCCAGGGGAGAATCCGGTGTGTCCAGCTCCGAGCCCCGGGTGAGGCATCCGGCATGCCCAGCTCCGACCCCAGGCGCGGCGTGCGCCCAGCCTCACCTGGTAGCTGACGAGGAGCTTGCTCTTCCACAGGGAGCTGGGCACGTCGTGGATGGACAGGCGCAGGTTGTGGTAGCTGTCCTTGAAGTGCAGCACGCGTGGCTCCTGGATGAGCTGGCCGCCCAGCTGCTTCTCCAGTTGCACCACCTCCTGCAGGGCCCAGGGGGTCAGCCAGGCCTCGCACCGCCCTGCAGGGCCTCTGGCCAGCCGGCCGGTGGGCAGGTGGTGGGCACACGCTGGGCCTCCCCGCGGCGGGGACGGCAGTACCTTGAGCGCCTCATGGGTGTCATGCAGGCAGTAGACCCGGATGTGGTACTCCAGGGAGGTGCAGGCCACCGGGGCGAACAGGAGCAGCTTGAGGCGCTTGGCAGCGGCCACACTGAGGGCCTCGCCCACTAGGGCGAAGCGACCCAGCTGCTCGGTGAAGACGTAGCAGGCGCCGGCTTCCAGCTGGCAGTAGTAGAGGTGGGCGGGCGCCTCCTCGCCCAGGCGCAGCACGTCCTGCGGGGGGGCAGGGGGTCGGGTCTTCGCCACCTCAGGCCTCCGTGGCCAGGTGGGGACGGCTCGGGGCGCACGGCCGCCGAAGGCCAGGTTGAGCACGCAGAAGGGCTGCGGGCCCCTCGGGAGCCTGGACGGACCGGGGCACACCAGGCGCCATTCCCTGCTCACCTCCCAGCTGCCCTCACACGACTGCTTTTTGAGGCGCAGGCTCCAGCTGTCGGGGCCAGGCTCCCCGCAGTGGTCCATGGCCAGGATGACGGGCCGTGTGAGCAGGACGCCGGGGGGCCCGCAGCTAACGATGGGACTCAGCAAGGTCTGGCCGCCGGCTAGGGGCAACCTCAAGTGGGGAAATTCGGGTGGGGAGGGAAAGGCGTCAGTGGCCCATCCTGGGCCCAGGGCCACGGAGGTGGGGGCGTGGCTCTTCTCCCACCCCGCCTCAGGCCAAACGGCCCGACGGGGTGGGCAGGGGCATCCCGGGACCCGGGGCGGCAGGCAGGCCCTTCCCAGCCCCCGTGCAGGGCCCGCGCCCACACCTCACGTCCTCGGGCTTGTGCAGCGTGAGGTAGACCTCATAGATCTTCCCTCGGGGTATGGCGTCCGGGGGGATGAGGAGGCTGATTCCTGTGACAGATAGGGGGGCAGGCTCACCCACGACCCGGCACCAGCCCCTCCGTGAGCCTCCCTCTGGGGACTGGCTGGTGCCCGAGGACAGCCGTGCCGCCCAGCCACCCACACAGGCAGGAGGCTGAGTCAGGGGACCCCAGGATCAGCGGGTGAGCCTGGGTGGAAAGGCAAGCCTTGTCAGCTCGGGCCTGGCAGACTCCAGAGCAGGCAGGCCCAGGAGTGCTGATCTGCCTTCCTTGCACCCGAAAGGCCCTGGGCGGGACCAAGGCCTTCCCTGCCTGAAACCTGGCCCGCCTCCAGGATGAAAGCCAGCGCCTTCGCCTCTAGCCCCACTCAGCGGTTCTGGAACCACGGCCTGAGCCCCACCGCGCTCCTGTCCCGCTCAAGGTCCTCCTGCTCCGCCGGCCCTGGCCACGCCCTGATGGGTCCCGAGCAAGCCTTGTCTCTGCCGCTCTGCCTGGTCTGGGAGCTGAGCGTGGGTGCCCTCCGTCTGGGACTGGCGTCTGCCCGGCCTCTTGAGGGAACAGCGTCAATGTCTTTGGAGAGGGGTGTGGCTCAAGGGGGGCTGTGGGGGCAGGACAGCCAGGGCCAGGGACGGGGCGTCACTCTGGGGGTGGAGCAGTGACCTTGTCCCAGGACAGGGAGCCCTGGCTCAGGACGGGGACTCGATCCCACCACATCTAAAAGCGAACGCCTGCACCCCAGAATGGGCAGCTGAAGTGGCCCGGGCTGGAACATCACTGTCTCTCGGGGAGCTGCATGTTGACGGCAACTGCCCCCTGCATGAGCCCGTGTGGCCCACGGTACCGGCTAGTGCTGGCTGCAGTCGCAGATAACACATGTGAGCCTCTGTAGGAAGGACATGCATGCACGCAGGCCTCGTTTGGCGGAGACGAACGCCAGCCGCTCAGCACACGGTAGGACCTGTGTCCTGGCTCTTGGCCCAGCGGGGAGAGAGACACAGGAGAGGTGGCTGCCCACACTTGCCCACCTGGGGCCACAGGGCTGCGGAGCTGGAGCTGCTGAGCACCACTGTGTGCCCACCTCTTTGTGGGGGCTCACCGATGCCCTGTCACCCCACCTCCTAACGGCCCCAGGAGGACACTATGATTCAGCAGACAGAGAGCCAGAGCGGTCAGGCCGAGACCCAAAGGAGAAGCCACCTCTGAGCCCGCGGGAGGGGCAGGGGCTGGTGTGCACACGGGGCAAGGTATCTGGGGCACGAGTGTCCCTGCAGCTGCCGCGTGCAGAAGCTCATGAGGGAGGGTCAAGGTCACAGCCCTCACCGGCAGGGGTTGGGTCCTCTCTGCCTGATAACGTGGGCTCTGCAGGGAACAGTGAGGAGCCCCGGAAGGTTTAGGCAGGAGAGGGACACGGTTAACTCCAGCACCATTTGGCGAAGGTTCAGCACCAGGGACCAGATGAGCTGTGTGGTGACCGGGGCCGGGAGGGGCGGCAGGGGCCGTTGAGGACACACAGGCCTTGGGGCGGGACTGAGACTGGCGAGGGCAAGAGAGGAAGAGCAGGAGGTCAAGGCGACCCCCGGTGGGGAAAGCCAGCCAAGAGGCGGGTTGGGGGAGGTGGGAGGCGGTTCTGTTTTAGGAGCCGGAATCCGAGGTGCCGTGAGACATCCAGACGCAGCCGCTGGGAGGCAGCTGGGTGTGCGGTGCTGGGGCCTGGGAGCTGCGGGCTGGGGGCTGAGGGGTGGAGTGCTCTGCACAGACACACTACCTGAGCAGCTGGAGAGGGGCATGTGGAGTGTCTAAACCGAGGGCTCAGAGAGCTTCAGGGTGGGAGTGGCCAGCCACACCACAGGCCGCGGCCACTTCCTGCAAGATGCCATGGGGTGGGTCCGTGGATTCTCCAACGACCTGTCTCGGGGACCCTGTTGGGGTTTCTGCGCAGTGGTGGGTGCAGCCAGGATGGGTGGGGACTCCCAGGGCCCTCTGCCCAGGCCTGCCCCGTCCCGTCTCTCCGCTCGCTGTTGAGCTCCTTGGGGTCGGCACTGCCCTTCCTCGGGCCCGGGGCCCTTCTCGGAGCCCGGGCATGGACAACAGCACCCTGGTGCCCTCGGGCAGCAGGAGACAGCTCTGGCCACCGCCCCAGGGCCAGCCCCCATGGGGTTCGCCCTAAGACTCCGCCCCCTTCCCTGCCTGCCTGGGTCGCAGAGAGAGGCCGAGGGACACAGGAGGGCCGGGGCTGTCCTGCTCTTCTCCAGGCGGGGAACCGAGGCAGCTCCTCTCGGGGTGCTCCCTACCTGTGTTGGGGATCATCAGGCGGCCCCCGAGGAAGTTGAAGGTCCCGTAGGCCATGTTGCTGGTGCCGCGGGGCAGGGAGCGGAAGTAGCTCTGGGTGGAGAGGCGGGACACGAAGTCCTCGGCCTCCGAGGTGGGCGAGCTGTGGCGCAGCGTGTGGCGGCCCCCGCCCAGCGGGCTGAGCAGGTGCCCGTTGGCGAGCTGGAACTTGGGGCTGGGCCCGTCCTGCCGGGGACACAGGCCGCCCTGGTAGGTGGTGGTGGTGGTGCTGAGGTCCGGCTGGATGGTGAGCAGGTGGGGGTTGTCTGTGGGGCAAGGACAGACTCAGGCCGGGGCCCCAGGGCGGCCCTGCCGGGCGTCCCAGGCCAGCCGGGCGGGTGCGTGCGCAGGAGGCCTGCAGGGGCGGGCTCACCCGCTTTGCTGGGCTTGATGCTGACGGGCTGGAAGCCCGAGGTGAGGATGGAGGAGTCCGCCACGTCCGAGTCCAGCCCCTCTTTCTTCCGGCAGTACACGAGGACCAGGACGAGCAGCAGCAGGACCAGGCACACGGCCACGGCGACGAGGCCCACGTAGAGGGCCACGCCCTCGGGGCCGGAAGCGGCTGTGAGGGACAGCGTGGCCTTGGGAGGGGCAGGGGCACCGGAGGCTGGGGGGTGGTCGGCGTGTGGGCCCCGACCCTGCATTTGCCGCTGCTTTGCTGGGGGACTCTGAGAAGTCACAGCCCTCACATTCAGGCTGGGCGGCTACCCAGAGGATGTGGGTGCAGAGGGCTGCTTCTCTGGAGGGTGGCCTGGTGCCGGATGGCGGGGCTGAACCCACGAGCGGCTCTTCCAGGGACTGGGGCGGCTGGGGGTGCGCTCACGGGAGCCCCAGAGCAGGGGCCATGCATCTTGGGGGGCTGCAGGCCAGCGCCGAGGTCGGGGGCAAGGGCGCACGGGCTCTTCTGCTTGTCTGCATCCCCCAGGCCTGGGGCAGGGCCAGGAGCGGGTGATTGATTGCTCGGAGGAGGTGGTATTGATTTTAGAGGAGTTTTGCATAATGGAAGAAATGTCCATCAGAAAGGAATTGACACAGATAATTAGGTTTTTAATTGAAAGAATGGGGGAGGGTGTGTTCTAGAGGGGAAAAAAACCCTACAGAGACCTTTAATTGTTAGTTATGGCCTGGTAATTAACAGGCCTCCCAAGTCCGCGTCCCCGCAGGACTTGAGTGTGTACTCGGGGGATGGGCACAGTATTGGGTGGGCACGGGTGGGCGGGCACGTCAGAGTTCGACCTGTGCATGTTTCAGGCGACGTGGGGGCATGCCTGGGCACGAGTGCAGGCGTGGTGGGGGACCCCTGAGGGCACCACCCGAGGCAGGGATGTCTCCCTCCCCCTCAGGACTGGCAGGGGCAACTCCAGTAGACAGGAGGGCACTCACTGTGCACGCAGAGGTCGCTGGTGCAGTTGCGTGTGTCCAGGTCCACACCCGGGCACTCCTCGCCACCGTTGCGGGGCGCTGGGTCAGAGCATTCACGGCTCCGCCAGTGGGTGCAGTCGAGCCCACAGGCCGACCACTTGCTCCAAGGGCTCCAGCTTCCGTCCACTAGACGGGGGACACACACGGGCAGAGAGGGGCGGCACGGTCAGCCCAGGGAGCCCACCCAGGAGGCCTGCCGGCGTGGCCCCGCCGAGCGTCTGGACCGGGCAGGGCACTCTGGTCCGGACCTGGGTGCAAGGCCAGGGCGCGGCCCACGATGCACGCCCTCTGG